CGCTACTGATCTCCTATGTCAATAGTTTATTTACATTGATTGGTCACTGAGCAGTGACCAGTGTCATTTTTGTCTGTTCCTTAGTATTCACTGATCAATCATGTTGCAGTGTGATCGTTATTCCGAGTACGCTATGTTTCGATGCCAGGTAGTTAACAGACCCTAATAAAAAGTGCCAAATAGAACGAAACTTAAGTCTAGGGTGCCTTGCCGACTACCTTCAAATATCCTACATATAAGAATTGTATATTTGGTGTTGAGTCACTGAAACTAATACACACATTGCAACTTGATTAGTGGAATCAGATCAAGACTGTGGAATAGATATACATGATATTGATTACCACTCAGAGATCAATCACTATAAAAAGATAGCAGAATCATGACAACTGTACTCACGGTAGACTGGCATCAAGTGAAGAATCATTACACAGCAAGGAAATCGGAAGTTGCTTCACCTTAAATGGAAACTCTTTGAAGGGATAGTGAAACGTCACTGGGCCCTAGCCAAATTATCCGGCAGGCAGGTTATCGAATATCGAACAGTTTGCCGATCCTCATCAACATCAAGAACCAACGCGCATGAATCAATGACTTGCCATGATCAGGTGCATGAGACAATCGTTCCGCCTTGTATTTCTGTTTACTGTTAATACTGTTGTCCATTGAGAGTATTTATTCTAGCCAGTCGCCTGGTCATCACGATAGCATAATCCAGGCTAAGTAATAACCGCGAAGAGTGACTTCAACGTAGGCCAAGAGGTCACATGATTCCCATCCACTTGAGTAGGATTGCAATCAACGTCACAGATCACCTACATTGGTAATCGGCATCCTCATTATCGTCCGTTCATGAAACAAAATGAGAATGAACTTAATATTTTTTAAGTCAATCAGGTAACACCACAGCACTTTGTTCAGAGATAAAATTCAAAATTCTTCATCTTTACAATTCAATTACTTACCGATATTCATTCAATGTTATCAGTGAGTAATTCGACTTCTAATAACAATGTATTGATAGAACAAATTCAATCAGTCAGTAACAACGTAGAACTTCGTACGTACGTACATCAGTTCGAGTTGCCACACCACATTAGCACAGAGATGCAGTGGTTGATTCAAATCCCGTAGTGGTAGAGGTAATAAGAGTATAAGCAGTAATCGGGAAGATTAGTGTTTGGAGATGTTACTTAAAGAGTATAATACAGTGAAATAAATTTGAGAGGAGAAAAAAGAGACAAGGAGGAATAAGGAGATCAAAATTTGGGAGAACACAAAGATTGTATGCACCTGCGCCATTGCAAACGATTTTAAGCCATGTCATTCAGGGTCTCTGACCATCGATTGCTATCATCTCGCGGTCCCCAACCAGCTAGTCTACACCTACCGACATGACTCAGACCACTTGTCAGTGACTTAATGAACTTGTGCCATGTTTTGGTCTGGCCGCACCTAGCTTTCTTCCATCCTACTCCTATACCACTGAACATCGCACGTCGAGGCGGTCGGTCGTTGGGCATACGTAACACGTGTCCCAGTCATCACAATGATGTTTCACTACGTCATCAATTGATTTGCCATCCTTACCTCGTACCCGTTTCCTAACAACTGCATTACTTACTCGATGGTCCCAGGAGTAGAACAAATTATTTGTAAACCATCTCAGTGACTAGGACATGAAGTTATGCTTCAGAAACCTTTGCATATTAAAACCAAGAAATTGAAGTAAGTTATTATCAGATAATAAAATTTAGTAAGAATTTAATAATGATCAGAACAAGTAAGTGTAATTCAGAAGTAGCTTAGTGGTTGAGCTATACAATTCCCAGCCAGTAGGTCTTAAGTAAGAGCTCAAACCCCTTCCACTTAGCTGGCTTCAGACAGTCGAGTAATATTAATAGACTTTATACATCGATTATGGTTCTAAGCCAAATATAGGGTTATTCAGTGGTTTATGTTTAGAAGAAATAATTAACAGATAGGTGTTCTGTTGAAAATCGTCACTATGATTATTCTTACAGTCAGTCAACTACAAAGTAGGACCACACAAATATATGAATCGGTCCAAGTTCCCATAGCTCATTAACACAACAAGATCAACACCGGATTCATCGAAGTAGTTAATTCAATGGTGCTAATATATAAAAAGGATTGCATATAAGGATATAGTACAGGAAGAAAGAATTAGTACGTAGAAAGATATGAAGCGGTTTTAATCTCATAATTTAAGGGAAGACAGAGATTGTATACACCTATGCCATTGTGATCGATTCTGAACCATGTCACTCAGTCTCCAACCATTGATTACGACAGTCACGCGGACCTCAACCAAGTAGTCTGCATCTACCAACATGGCTAAGATTAATCTTACATAATTTATTTATTTAACATCAAAAGTTATTGGCACGTAAATTCAGAGTTTCAAATTTGGCTGACCTTGTAAAAAATGTTTAGTGTTTGGTACGTCATTAAACAAATATTTATGTAAATAAAATGTTGATGTTTTTCATATAACTACTGCTGTTGTGTAATAAATTTTTGGCTAATGAATTAAGTTCAGATATTATTTTTAAGTAGCAACAATGTGACTAGGAACTGGAATTGACAATGTTTTTTTTTTCATAACTATTTATAGTTGTAATGAAATACTTAATTTAATTAGTGAGGCAAACTGTAAATTTGCGCAAGTGGCAACTTGTATAGGAATGAAAATATACAGGTAAATGGTCTCAATTTCATGACTGATGGTAAATTTGAATGGCTTGTTATATATTACACGCGAATTGACTATAACAGTAAAACTTCCCTAAAGTCTTATTAAGTTAGCTGAACTCTAATATCCATACGGAACTGTACATAGTAGACATCATAGAATGATATCACCTGGCATACCATAGAAAACCAGGTAGAACTGAACAGTTGTCTCATACTAGTATAGGACTTCTCAGCACGGCACACCCATCACCCCATAAAGGATAGAAATCAGTATATTCAAGTTTCAGTTTATTTATTTGAACACAAAAATATTGGTACAAAGGAGCACTGAATGCATATGTGTCAGACAAGTCACCTGATTTGTGTGTGGGAAGTGATACTATCAGGGTGCCCAGACCGAAGCAGATGGTTTTCTTAGGTCACGCCTGGAGCTTTCGATATCAAGATCTAATTTACAAGGCAGTGGAGCAAAATCAGGAGATCCAGTCCCATGGTAGCCCGTGACCAATAATTGGCTCATACGTCATTTGTTCCCTCAGGATACTGGAGCCCCATGTACACCATTGGTTGGGATGGAGGGTTTTCTAACTCCCGTAGGTTGATTCTCCGTCTCCACAAGCCCGGTTAAAACGGCGGACATAGGTTTTCCATCCTCTCATTTTTGTAGGCAACCCCCTCAGCCGCGAGAAGGAAGTGAGTAGGACTTCCCTGACGGTGGCTGTATACGCGTGGCCATGTGAGGGCATACCAGTGTACACTTAGCCATTAGAACTCCCGGGTCGGCGTCTCATGGTACAATTCCAACTTCAATCAATTTGCGATACGGCACAACCACTATCTGATGACATTGGCAACAAATGTTTCACTCCTGAAATATCTGAATTCTACTTCTCATGATCTATCACTAGAACTTCAGACATCTCTGAATGCCGGAAGGCTTGAAGGTCCTCAGTTAAATCTCTGATCGGTTCGTGGGTGTACACTGCTAAGTCCGATACTAGGGCGAAACAAATATTCAGTGTTCTTTTGATTTTCGATAGTACCTCGAATGAGCTCAGTCTAACGAATGTCTAAAAATTAATCCGATCTCCATAAAAACACTTTAAGTAAAAATTGATGTTGCATTAATTACAGCTGTCCAATTCCACAATTGAAGTTTATTCCTATCACGAACTGACATCAGCTGGACAAATATTAAAAACCAGGAAGACAGTGTATATTTGTCTCGTTTTAGTTTGCGTTCGATCACTGATGAGATCGTATGTGGGTGCTGCAGGGAATCACTAAACTATACCACAAAACAAATGTTCATTTGTCGTACAGATTAATCTGATTTAACTAAAAGAAAGTACATTCTTATACTACAAAGTAATGACTATTGTACAGTTGGAGCGTACAATCACACAAGGAATTATTGCTGTAGTGCAAATAACTACTGTTTTTCGAATGTAAATATTGTAGAAGTTATTATTAATCGATTTAACATCTGAAACATAATTTGGGGATCACGTGTATTTGAAGGTGTTGCAGTTCTTAAGATTGATGGAATAGTCATAATGTACATACTTACCATCTGGTGTAAAAATAGTCATGAATAAACCACTCAGCTCTAGGAAGACAATCTCTCTAAAATCATTCACATTTCATTTCAGAATCAAACAGTAAAGCTCCCAATCAATTAGCACTATTATCTCGCGATCATAAATTAATTTTTACTGTAAGTAGTAACGCTAAATAACCGAATCCATGAAAAATTAACAACACTGAACATGCCAAGTTGTCATACTAATTCCGCATAAAGAAATGTAATTAACCCGATGTATAGTTAGAAAATAGTAGTTTCATGAGCGATAAAATCAGTGTGTATAATCCCAATAGTTATGAGAAATTCAAAGCATTTATACCTAATCTACATATGCTTTGAAACAATTTGTCATAAATCTCGTTTTAAGAAAAACCTAATACAAAATTCAAACTGAGTTGTTATGATTATGTACTCACAGTTTTCATATTACTATTCACTATACTTAAATATTAACATACAATGAGACAATTACTTCAAACAAAATTGAAACATTAAACTCTACGAAATGTTCAATACATCTTACTTACTTACGCCTGTTACTCTTCGTGGAGGAGCACAGGCCCACCAGTACTTTTAAATGGTTTGAATTATTTTTTCTGGCTAGCGTTTTTTTTAGCGAGTTAGTTTTCTATGAAATAGGGTTGCTAACCCCATGCTTGAACTTGGGACCGGCAGTAATTCTAGAAGAGCTACAGGTGGAGTTGTTCAGTACATCACATCAAGTAATTTAATCGTTAAACAAACAAAAAATACACTACAAAGCAAAACTGAATAGATTTTATTTTGTAAAAGCAAATCAAATTTCATAGAGGATTATAACACTGTACTAATTATATATATATATTTCTTTCAAAAAGCAATGATCTGAGAAATTGAATGTCTTAAAGAAGAGCAAAAATAAGCAAGAAAATTAACCACAGCTTTATAATGCAGTCGTTAACAAGATTTTTTTCTTTTTTTGGGGAAAAAAAGAAAGAAGGGGGAACTAATATTGAAAAAACAGGAATATAAAAACAAAAAAACACAATTTTCTTCGAATACATAAGAAAAATATTTACCAACAAATAAGTCACAATCAAATCTTTGTTGAACACGAATTATGTATTTGGTTAGTTTTTTATTTCATGCATTGATTAATGGAAAAAAAAAGAACAAAACACAAATATATATGTGTGTGCAATATGGAATATTTACGAATGGGGGAGAAGAATAGAAACATTACAGACAAAGATCATGGATTAGTGTAAGTTGAACAAGAAATACAAAGTTAGAAATAGTAAACATTGACAATAAGAGCATACAGAAGACAAAGACGAAGAAGAATACATGTGTACAATGATAAAAGGAAAACAAACTGAAGAGAGAACAAAATTATAGTTACCAGATTATTTATGAAATAGAAATAGCACAATGGGTAGCGCGCACATTTAATGGAGTTAAATAAATTGTAATTATGAAAGTTTTGTTTACATGTTTATTAGACTATAACATATCCTATACAGAGAAAAAAAGTATCATAAACTAATACTCAATTCCTTACAACCGAGTTTATAACACATAGATTATTTAAGTTGTCCATTAGGTGAACCGAAATCAAAGCTACTAGGGATAGTTGGTGAAAAAGTATATCCTCCAGCTTGTTCAATAATTTTAGACTCTGAAATATAAATTGGAAAATATTTTGTTAGATTTATGAGAAACAGACGAGATATACTGTATGTGTATAATGAAGACAATCTGAACTAAATTGAAAATATATTTATCTTGAAATCAAGTGAGTAAATTACAAACAACCATAATGATTCAAATGTATTCTGATTCATACTCAACTATGTGAAGAATTTGCACTCTGCTAATAGATCCTTACAGTACCATGATGAATGGTGTCGTGTATCAATGCTGCATTTATTTTATTTAGACATATATATATTGGTACAAATGAGCACCGAATACATATGCGCCACACAAATCTCATTTGATTCGTGTGTGGGCTATGATACTGCCCGAGTGTCCAGCCTGAAACAGGTGGTTTTCTCAGAGGGGCACGCCCGGAACCTTCGACTTAAAGGTCTGATCCACAAGGCAGTGTAGCAACGTCAGATGAAGTTCCATAGTAGCCGGTGACGAACAATAGGTTCATACGCCATTTGTTCCCTCAGGATCCTGTAGCCCATGTGTGCCATTGGTTTGTAATCAGGGTTTTCCAACTCCCCTGCGTGGATCATTCATATTTATCAAATCGGTTACAGCGTCGGACACTTGTTTTTCGTCCTCTCAATTTCGTACCTGATACTCTATAGACCACGCATAACGGATAGTTAGTCATACCCAACGTAGAACCTCAGAAACCGGATCAAAACAACGACAACCATATCAGAAAGTTTCATTAGTTCATGAACCCACTGACTGACCGGTTGTTAATCCGTCATGTTGGTAGGTGAAAATTGCCTGATTGACGCGATCATAACCAATAGGTGTCAGGTCACACTGTTCAGAATCCGTTACAATAGCCAGACGTATTCATTATCTCTTACCAAATAGTTTTATATTCAATCATTTCCAACCACATTCTTAATATGAAGTCTTTTTTACGATCATTTATACACCATTTTACCTCGACATGTTAATGTTTTGAGTCAACTTAAGCTAATTCACACTACAGTCACGCTCTACGTTTATTAAGTCAGCTTGGATAATAAAACAAATTTATTCACAAATTCAGTTGTCGTTGTCAGTTGATATGTGCACACTTGACATAATCATGATTAGTCAGAAAGTCTCGAAAAGACCAAACCACTCACTACCTGTTAAACTAATTCGTATAAAAAAGAGGAAACAATGAATGACCACAACGTAACGCTTTTTTTGGAAGATACAATAGCGTTTTGCTATAGCATATTTAAGCGCTAAAATATCATGATTCGCAAAAACACGAGACCATTAAAGATGTTACTGTGAGCAAACACAGAATTGCAGGACATCACATTATGCGTTTTCATGAATTAAATATGATCAGTACCTTATAATTATTTCCTTGAACACATGAAATATGAAGAGAATATATATATAAATTCACCTTTTTGTTGGATACATTTCAGAGCAGTATCCACCACTCCTTTGAGATCATTTTGCTGTTCTTCACTAAGATGATTGATCAACTGACTATACCATGCATAATCAGATCTTTCCAATTCAGTCATTACACGATAAAACGTTACATATTCATCCATATCACATTCAGACTTATCCATTTGTGTGTCGAACGCCTCGAGTGTTTCTTCTTCCTCATCGTCCTCATCTTCATCATCATCATCGTCGTCGTCTTCTGAATCTTTCTAAAGTAAAAACCGATCGCATGTCAGTAACAAACTGAAAATGGATATGTTAAATTCTAAAATTAAGATTTAAAACGTATAGGAACATCAAAATGTTATTAACTAAGTTGTGACTAAGTTTAAAAAATTGAACTCAGTCAGTCAGTTAGTAACAACGTAGAACTTCGTACGTACGTACATCAGTTCGAGTTGCCACACCACATTAGCACAGAGATGCAGTGGTTGATTCAAATCCCGTAGTGGTAGAGGTAATAAGAGTATAAGCAGTAATCGGGAAGATTAGTGTTTGGAGATGTTACTTAAAGAGTATAATACAGTGAAATAAATTTGAGAGGAGAAAAAAAGAGACAAGGAGGAATAAGGAGATCAAAATTTGGGAGAACACAAAGAGTGGATGCACCTGCGCCATTGCAAACGATTTTAAGCCATGTCATTCAGGGTCTCTGACCATCGATTGCTATCATCTCGCGGTCCCCAACCAGCTAGTCTACACCTACCAATATGATTCAGTCTAATTGTCAGTGACTTCATGAACTTGTGCCATGTTTTGGTCTGGCCGCACCTAGCTTTCTTCCACCCTACTCCTATACAACAAAACATCGCACATCGAGGCAGTCGGTCGTTTGGCATATGTAACACATGTCCCAGCCATCTCAACTGATGAAGTTTCACTACGTCATCAATTGATTTGCCATCCTTACCTGGTACCCGTTTCCTAACAACTGCATTACTTACTCGATGGTCCCAGGATATACGAGCAATATTTCGAAGACACCTATGATCAAATACTAGTAACCTACGGATATCCTCTACTCTTACCGGCCATGTTTTACTGCCATGAAGTAGGACAGAACGAACTGCTGCGCAGTAAACACGTCCTTTGGTTGATAGACGGATATCTCGCCTACGCCATAAATGACGCAAGTTGGTAAAAGCTAGTCGAGCCTTCTGTATCCGTGCTGAGATTTCGTCACACACCAGACCACAAGGGCTGATGAGACTTCCAAGATAAGTGAAGCAGTCGACACACTCAACTACTTCACTCCCTATCACTAGTTCGAGTGTCAATGCAACCCAATCTTGAAGCAACATTTTGCATTTCGAGGGAGAGAATCGCATCCCGAAGATGCTTGCATTGTTGCTTAGAGTGGTCCGAAGACTCTGCATTTTGTCAGCGTCTTCACCAAATAAAACTATGTCGTCAGCATATTCTAAGTCCACAAGTGAACCTCCCGGTAGAAGTTCAACCCCTGGAAATCTAGACGAGGAAAGTGTTATCTCTAAACGTACGTCTACGACAAAGTTGAACAATGGAGAGTGTGGACAGTCCTGACGAACACCACTTGAAAAAAAGTGAAAGTGACTATTGCATGAAGTGGTGTTAGCATTTATATTACAAGATGCTGTTTTTTCTTCAACAGTGAGCACAACGTAATTAGACTGTCGACTGATGAAATTGGGGTTTTTCTTATTTTTCCATGCAGATTAATAACCCTTGAATCAAGTAAACACAGGACTCGCTAATGAATGACTGTTTATAACTGCTTTTATTTATAATGCTGAAATATCGTTATCGCATTAGTAAAAAGGGGTGTGCTTTACTGTAAACGTGACAATTAATCATATCACATAGGAAAAAATGATTTGTTTCATTGAACTATGGTTATTCTATTAAAATTTGATTTTCAAAAAATTTACAGAATGAGAGAAACCAAAAAACATTGATGTAGTATATATAATAGTAAGGATTAAACTATGTTAACTAATGTACGTTTTTACAAAGAAACACAACACCATGAGTTCATCTTTTAATCTACGATAACTTGTTATTAAGTGTTAAATGTTCAGGAGAAAATGTAACTGGGATCATCATTTTATAGGAATAAGGGTGGATAATAGCACAACTTGTTAAAATGACACAGTTCTACCTAATGTACATTTAACAAAGGCTAAAATCAGAATGCACTGATTGGGACATTTTAAAATGATCCGAGTCAATGGGAAAGTCGAGGAATCAAAAAAATTTCTATAAACATTTTATACAAAATCTAACATCTTTACTGCTTGAATTTACTAGAGTACCCACTGTTTCATTTTAACTGTGGTTTTGATTTGGGAAGATTGAGGTGGAATATAATGTTCTGGGTAAACTAGGTCTATCTAACAATTTGGTTCCTATTTATCAGTTACAGACTTCAACTTTTAGTCACTAAGTCCCAGGTTTAATCCCAATCCATCGACTAAGGTTTGGGCGACGGAGTAGTATCATTAGATTTACACATGCAATGCGACTCATACCTAAGTAGTAAACGAATTAATTAATTTTGTCATTTCCTTTCATGCCTTAAATAACATGATACTGTAAAAAATATTATAGTACAATAATAAACAAATCATAAAAAATGATTAGCCAGAAATAAAAAGGCGAGAAGACAACAATTCACATTTTTTTCTCAATCAATGTAAAGCGATAGTGAAACAAAAATAAATACATCGAATATATAAAAAAGCTTACAGTTGCCTCTAACATTTCTAAATAACGAACACTTTCTTCGTCTACTTCATCTTCATCGCTTCCCAAAGCTTTACCCTCTAAATCTTCCTCTGTTTCAGATTCTTCTTCATCCGAATCTAGAAACAGATAGAAGGTAGAGACATCAATTGTCTTTGAGAAATCAAGCATATATTTACTCATTATGAAGAGAAAATTAGTGATAAGTACTTGTCTACAAATTACAGGAATTTAATTACTCCACCTGGAACCCCCTCTAGGGCTACTACTACTACTGATCATAAACCCGGATAACGTGTTTCGAGTTGGGGCAAGTTCACTTTGTGAAACAAAACCCTGTTATACAATGCACCAACCAGAGTAAACGAAGTACACTACCTTGAAAATTGAACGGTCTTCACGTAGATATATGATCCCACACGGTAAGCCCTAGGGGTTTACTGAAGCTACCAACCCGATACTCCACCTTCGCACTGAAACTCATTACCGCGACTATAGAAAACATTGGACGACTGTTTTATTCCAGTATGGAAAATCAGACGTATGTGTTCACGATAAAACCGGGAGTCGAACCCAAAAACTTCGAACAATTCGTAATGTAAACGATGAAAATTTAACAATCTCCACAAATTTCCCCACAACTTAAAGAAATCCCGTACTCGTGGTAACTAACTTCCGGATCCAATAATAGTGAGAAGACATGACTAGTGGAGTTTGGTCATGTCGGGTGTGAAAATTATCTACTACCACAGAAAATGAAACGTGGTTGCGCGAAATCGTGAATTGAGTGAAGTTAGACATCCATACCATTGTGAAGTCTTGAATTCCATCCCGAATGGTTAGATGCTGTGTTCTCATTGAGGACTCCCTTGCAATGACGAAAAAGTTGTTTAATGCTCTCTGATGTTAAATGGTGGTCTACGACATCCTACGATATAAAGTACGGAAATTCAACAATCCCCAAAAAACCGCTCAATAAATTAAGGAAAAATAGTTATCAAATAAATAAGGATGAAAGTGAGAAAAAGCCCTACCATCTTCATTTTGATTGGAAGCTTTTGTTGCGTACGCCTTTTTCAGTCCAGAAAATAGCAGTAGAAGTGATGGTATATACTTTTCACTGAATGTTACAATTGCATCAGTTCGTTTATCAACCGGAAGAGAAATAATCAAACAAAGTCCTAAGACACAGAGGCGGCGATCATGCAATCTAAAGAAGAGAAACATCGTTTCCATCTGGTTTACTTGAACAAAAATGAAACTTGCTAACGAATTTTAGATTTAAGAAAATTGAACACAATTGCCATTTGTGTAAATTCAGGAAAAACTATTGATGAATGTGTCGCTTGTCAGTTATTTTGTTGAGATTCCGATGCATATTGCTCCATGAAATACTGAGACCGTTTTAGTAGACCATAATTCACTGTAATGTTCTAAGAATTTTTAGTTTGTTTGCTTGTTTACAAAAGGTCTGTTTGAAAACCAGTGACTTTTGAGCAATATACAGTAATGGTGCATTGAAAGCAACAGATTATAAAACGGAAAATCAAATTTATGATGTCAAAAATACAACTCCACTACAAACGACAGAATAATGATTAGATAATTGGGGCCTATTTTCTTCAACAGTCCAGTTTTAAAATTACTACACAGATTATTTCTATGGTATTATGAAAGAGAAATATTCAAAGTGGTTTAACAACACCAATGACTGGATATTCAGAAAGTTTCTGTATACACGAAAAACAACGATCGAAATTTTCTCAAATATAAGTAACTTACCCAAGCGAACTGTATGAGTTTATGTAGTTCATTTTTAATTTAATGCGACTTATCTATTAAGAACGGATTTATGTGCTCAGATTAAAATCATATTAGTATTGTTTATGTTGGTGATATTATCCAGCCTCTTGAACTGGAGTAGTTATAATGGAGCTTGAATCTGAGATTGGATGAGTGAATCACCAAGCTATTGATGAGTCGAAGTGAAGACTAAGGTGGATAGACTGCCATAGTATTGAAAGTTTTTATAAGGAAAGCAAAAGTTGAAACATTTAAGGTCAATCAATACACAAAAAGCTGTTACTGCTAGTTGTATAAGTAATCTAGACCCAGACGAAATGCAGTAACATAAGAGAAAATGTAAGTCTGAATGCCAGCTGCTCTATACAAAGAAACCCATACTATGGGATTTGTATTACAAACCGATCTATAAAGGCTTTGGGGTGACAGTTTGGTTAAGGTTATTGACTTTCTCAGTTTCTTAAGTACGAAGCAAGCAGACATCATACTTTTTTAATTAAACAATCTTATGCACATATATTAGTCAACAACTAAACTAAGAAACTACTTACCCAAGGAAACAGTCTGCATCTTCAATCCATCGTTTAAGGAATTCGGACAAAATGTTAACCTCTGTCCCAGGCCATGGATGCTCGATCATCATATGAAGCATATCCATAGGTGAGTAAAGCAATCCAGCAATTACCACCTGATTGTTAATATAAATAAGGTTATTAAAATAAATGATTACTTAACGGGAACATTACAGATTGTTTTAGATATTTACAGGCGTGTTATTTTAATGAAATGTGATAAATTCTAATGCGAGTTCTTTCCCACCTTTTATACTGACAGTAATTATTACGTTCTTGTACATAAGCATCAACAAAACGGCTGACATTTACATAACCAACAGACTTCAAGAAAGTTAAGGAATGGTAACGAAATCGGGACTTTTTTGTAGATTGCGTCCACACTTCAGTCGCTGATATAAAATCATGCTTCGGCAACACGTTTTTTAATACAAAGTAATGGACAGAATTTTTTCAATCAAATATTCATTGAAGTCATGAACCGATTAATGTCAGACCACCATTGAAAATCTAGAAGCATTAGACGGTCGTTTCGTCTTGGTATGAGACTCCTCAGCAGTGCGCATTAACAAATCCGCCCAAAACCTTCGGCCTTGCGTGAACTCAACGGTTGGTAATCAAACATTAGATACACTAAAATACCTCTAATAGTTAACAACGCTAGAATACGAGGTTTTGAAAATCCATTTTGATTATTTTATAAATGCACAAAGTATTAATTACTAAATATGTATATAAGATCCATAGTCCGTAAATGAGCTACACAAATTAACTGTTGCAAGTCTCCTAAGCCCGTCGTCTACAATGAACAAATAAATACATTTTGGAGAGCATCGAATATCCTTTCCTGATACTGTCAATAAAGGACGATAGTATATGGTCATACATGATGACAAGCAGTAGGTAAAAGCTAATCCCGATGAAATTCCCACCTTACGAATTACCCAGAAAATCTTTTCCTAAGTAAATTTGCCCTTTTTCTTTAACCTACTTTAATTACCATCACTGAAAGTAAGTCTGAATATCAGTTAAGCAAAAGTATTACTGTTTAATTACATTAGCATATCAACTGACCAATTTGTGTTAAGCAAATCAATTAATGGATAATTTTAACTGTAGCTACATTAGTTTCATGACACACAAAAAATTCTACAAAGACATCCACGGTTAGTGCCAATTACTTTAACTACCATATCTTTTAGAAATCTGCGATGTTATAGTTTTATCAACTACTAAACCATAAACATGTATACTATGATTATTTAATGCTGTACAAGCAGTAGTTCAATAATTAAGGCGTTCGACTTTTAGCCCCACTTCACCTACTTTGGTTTGAGCGTTAGACTTATAAGCACTCACAAGTGGTGTGTGGCCCAAATTCAAATACCTGAAGAATGAGTTAATTTATCAAGTTCTGCACGAAATAGTTAGGGTTGAATAATAGAATGCAAATATGATGACAGACTGGAACAATCTACTTGTAATTGAGCGTTGGCAATGGAAATAATTAGAAGCTTCGAAGCATGGGTAAGATATAATGGGAAAAATAACAGTCAATATCATTCTAGAAACCAAACTATCATGGTAAAAAGGGTAGGTAGCATAGTGTCAAGATGGCTTAGAAAAGCACGACGAAGCCACAAGAGGCTCTATAGGAGCCAGAGATTCCATCCAACCAGAACTTGATACAGCCTTCTAGAATACTAACGTGGCATGCCACGATTGGACAACAGTATAACTTGCCTCCTTGTGGATTGGCTAAATTATGATGATGCTATAGTCAAGACTAATAACACATGTTTTTCTTTTCTGTTTTTGATTCCTACCGTTCTCCTATCTTTTGATTTGCGAGTGTGAGGTTCTACATGTTGGAGTCCCATTAGTTGTACATCGTATTCTACCGTAATCAAGTAGAGGACGTAACACATAGTTCGTTCATAATTTAAAATACTCAAATCATTAGTTTATAGAAATGTTTCCAATCTGCAAACAGCTTCCTACAATGAAAAACTATCTCACAAACCAGAGAGAAGCGGCTGTTTTGTGATTGTCAATTTTTAGTAGTTTTTTCTAACTGATACCAGTTTATGGCGAAAAACTGAAATCACAGGTAGACATCAAATCTATTTCTTAGTTGTTTCGATGAGATAAGTGCAACTTTATGCGCCATTCACTCCTCTATTAGGCTATATATGACATGAACCAAGACCCTTTTACCTTGAACATAAACTTAAGCGAATATTTCCGAATAAACAATTACCTGCATACAGAGTGTTCTAAGTTCACTTGAAACAAGCGGCCGTGTAAGACGTGTAAGTGCTAGCTCAACATATTTTGGTACATACTGATTCACTTGACCTCGATAATCAAGTAAAATAACTTCAAGTAATTTTGCAGCATGCATTTGTAGTCTTTCTTGGTCATCCATTGAGAACACCTATGGAGACAAATATTAGGTAAAGTTAAATGCAATAGAGAATAAACAAAACGACCTTTTATTGACTAACGATAAAAAAAACTATAATGTAACAGTCCAAACTTGGAAAGTATAAAGAACCTACTGGGATTAAAAAGATTAGAGATGCGTTGATTTATTTATTTATTTAGCTAATTCATCAAGTACACATTCATGTATTTGGTTTTGAACTGCACTCTAAATATGAGGGCTAGTGATACTACTACTACTACTACTACTACTACTACTACTACTACTACTACTACTACTACTACTACTACTACTACAACTTGGTTGTCCAAACTAACATAGATAGAGCAAAGTTTGAATCTGCGAATTGACGGATGGGAGTAAGAGGCCATAACCACCGGATCACCACGCTATGTGCATCCACGACCCAATCAATTGTTAATCCCTATCGATAAGTGAATTGACCAACAATATTTGAGTTAAACGCTCACCACTAGATTCCACGTTGTCAATTCGGATTCTAAAGGTACGGATAGCTAAAAAGGTTGACCTAAATATATAGGACAGTTCGCTTCAGATGTCTTCATGGGTTCATTTAAGGTAAAATTCCCTAAGGTTAGAAACGACAGTGTCAAGTTGTTGATTGGATGGAATGTATCAGTTTTGCAAGAGATGGAATAGAGGGTTGAAGATAATGAACCACTATCAGTAATAAGGCTGATAAGAATTTAGTCATGACGCTAGGCAACCTAGTTGCGTAAATAGAACACCGACTGCTATATAAGACTTATACTTACAAGCGAACGATATTCTATTGACGAAGAGAAAATTAACAGAGACCGTGCCTGACGAAGATATAAAGTTAAATTTCACTCCCTTGCTATTAAGAGAACAAACAAATATACTTTAATATGCTATTGCCAACACACTGTTTAACGAGTCGAAAGATCGGCGGTTGCTGACACCTCTACGACTTTATCACGAGAGGAGGAGTGCTATAGTCAAGCAGGTAGACTGTGGGCCCGACACGAATGCTTGATAGAAAACTGCAACCGAAATCATTATCCTTAAAGTACGAAATTTACGTTTACCCGAAGAATTAGATAGTCCTACAGAAAAGAATGCTGACAAACGACGTAGTGGTCGTTTCAAGAGAAGGGTGTCAATCTATCGATAAAAATAAATAAACCAAGTGTTTGTATTAAACGCTTAAAACTTAAAACTCATTTCATATCAGACTATGTATTACTCTAGCCTTTTTTTAATTAACAATCATGAAATTGTACCAGTTACATAAACATATTTATTCATTTTCGTTGTCTCCGTTACCATTCGGTACGCATGTGTTTACGGTTTTCTCTGTAGATGACTACTACTTTGTTTTTTTGTACGAATTGTGTTAATTTATATTTTAGAAACGGATTACAATTGTGGGCTATATATATCGTTATCTGTTTTGACCATAGCCCTGCTAAGACTGTGTGTGACAATGTAGAGACATATTCAAGAGTTCTTTTTAATTTCAAGTGCGGAAATTTTTACAAATATCATTTGCAGTTTAAATCAAGACTTGACTTGAACTGCTATGGAAAACTATAGAAACTATTATTTCATAATTTAAAAAGACTCAATACTCACGAATAGTATTTATTACAAACTACGCAGATAAGTATTCACATGTAAAAAATGATTAACGTATAAAAATTTGTATCAGAAGGGGTTTCTGTAGATATTATAGTAATTTTAATAGTTGAGATCATGATGCCGGTTCAGTGTTCTAGAAGTTAAGCGTTCGCGTGCGAGACCGATAGGTCCTGGTTTTGAATCTCGCGAGGCGGGATCGTGAATGTGCACTGCTGAGCAGTACCACAATAGGAAGAAACGGCCTACACCAAGAATCCAGTTTAGTACTATGAGGTCTCACGAAAAATGCAGAACCATTAAAATTACTGGGTGTGCAAGTCAAATAAGCTAAAGTGCGATTAAATCTTTTTACGGGACAGGAATATACTCACAATAAATTTGAGATAAAATATAGCGATTGAATTTATATATAGCAAACAACAGCAACCTACGAACGTCCTCTATTTTTGAAGGCAAAATTCCACAAAGTAAAATAGAGCAAACTCTTTCGAAATACATTAGAGAAGTGTAATGATGTTAATCGTACGCCTGATACTTTTTGCCTAGTAGTCTAAACCAACTGAAGATGAATAGTTGTAATGAGAAAAATTGGTTTTGTTCAGTTTAATACAGAAACTTTCATAAATTTTTTAATTAGTGAATTAACTGTAATATCTACCTCTAAACACATAGCAGTAATTTGTTCAATACGTGAAGTATTTGCCAGGAAAGCCTCTCGGTCCACTGTTATGTAATTATGTAGACAGGGCATCATTTCTAAACAACAATATAGACAGGAAAAAACTTTAAGGTGGTGAGAGATTTCAAACAGAAATTAGATAGAAGTTCTATAAGCATTTTGCCTAAATTTGGACGAATAGTTTCACATTAGTTGGGCACTTAGTAAACGTACGACATTAAAAAGAAAACCATACTTGCAAAAAACTCAGCAACTGAATTTCAAACAAATCCAACTTTTAGCTCGGCGATCTGATCTAAGCTTTTCAAGGAAAGTAATTAAACATTAAAATTATCAAATATAAACACGGTTTGTACTTTGTCGAATATCAGTTAATAAAGAATTGACACTAATTCGAGAATCGAATGAACGACTTTGCTTACACTGAGGATACAAGTTTCAATCTTAACAACTACCAAATCAACAGGGAGCAGACCTATAATAAGATTGAGATAAATCTAAATAATACGCAACAATCAAGCATAAACATGAACAAGAAGAATCTTGGTAAAAGGAAACGACTTTTATTTACTACTATGTACCAAAGCTAGGAATCACTGTTTAGTATGATAGTCTGTTTTGACACAATGGGATCTTTCAGTTTTAAAACCTAAGAAAACTGGTTTGCATCACTTCACTTAACTTTGCTTTGAGTTGGGTCTAATTCCAAAACGTCCTTCACGAAAATCTTTTAATACTGATTTCGTGAAGCATGATTTTCAAAAACTTTAAGCCAATTACATCAGTTAGTAATTTTTTGCTCTGGGAATATAAATAAATGTTAATCACACAACGGAAACCAATGACATACTACTAATTATAAAATAATATGAAACAAGCATGAATTATGCAACTAGAGCTTTCATCAATTTTCTAAGTCTTCAAGGTTTTCAACCCATAATTATCAATCAGCCAGTTGGTAATTCCATTTATTGGAGAATATGACCAATAGTCTAGTACACGAAATTGCCCTAAATCATATATTTACCGGGAGTTTAGGAGGGAAATTACTGCTGAAAAAGTAGGGTATTGTATAGATTTTATCTGAATTCTAAATACATAAAATACTTACCGGAAAAGCACTCGCAAGCATCTTTTTTGAATACAGGATAGAGTTGATCGAAAAGTTGCCACAAAAGTGGGGAAATCTTGTTAGTTGTCAGCGAGAAAATGAACGTGAGAGCTTCATCAAAGAACACACTTAATTTATGGTTGAATATAGACTGAATCAAATGCACAACAATAGGTTCAAGCTGAGCAACAAGGTTTTCATTATCTTCACCAACTTGCAGAATAGACTCCATATTATCTAAAACACTTGTAGCAACTATTGACCGGTACTCAAAGAGATCTTCTGTATCCTCAAGCTCGATTAATTCTCTATTTAACTCATACTCGGATTTAATAACGAGCTGATGAAACGTATCTGACTGGAGGAAAAAAGACACCAAAATTCAATTAGAGAAATGTAAACCTAAACCCTTCCCTAAAAAAATCAGGCTAAACAATGAATTGAATAATAGTTATGTTGATTAAAACATACCAATGTTTGCATAACTTCAGAAGCGATTGGAACTATTTCTTTCTCAAATGTATGTATTAATATTTCGATTACACTGTTTAAATCGTCAAATTCAGTTTGCCGAAGAAGCTCCAATAAACCTGAAAGTGAACGTACTATGAATATAACTGCCAAAATATTATGAGACGAAGATCTGCACTACTAAAATAATGAGACAAATTGAGCTAAAACAATTTCTAACAAACAGCTTCCTGCACTGCTTACTAGTTCAATCTAACAAAGTCACCTAAATAAAGAGTATATTCGTTGTCAGATGGATAGGAGTAGCAGAATCTATTAGTTTTGCTCAACATGCAACAAATAAAAAAGCAATGCTCTATCTAAACTTCCTCCCTTGCTGAAATTTATGATGTTTAGGTGCACAAAAAATACTAAAATGTACAGATTTCTACAAAACCATGCTGATTATTTTACAACTCTATATTAAAAATCACAGGTCATAAGACATGATACAAACAATTCAAGTCCTTAATCACACACTGTTTTGCGTCTGATTCATATGTGTTCGTACATGAATCGTTGGTATCGAACGACAGTAAATATGGTTTCAACTAACTCCTTTGTTGACTGAAGAAACAGCCATCTTAAATTTATTTTACATGTGTTTAGATAGGCATTAGCACTTACTAAGCAACAAAGAGAAAAATTAGGATCAAAAACTTGGTATAGACGATAAGTACGTAAAACTTACTGCAACTGATATAAACTGGGTGCTTTCAAGTGCATAGAGTTATATTTTAACCATAGAATACCGAAAAACACTATAAAGGTAGTTACTTGAGGCAATTACTTGCTTTTAGTAATTATAGAATAGTCCGAAAGTCACATGAAACCTTACACAACCTCTACCGGGAATCCTAAATGGGTTGTTACTTTCTGAAATCAAAACCAGGTATATTATACCAACTTATGTATGCTAACTGGACTGCATACATATTTTAAAGTTTGTTATTTAGTGACTTTTCAATACTTTTAAGTGAAAACACGAAATGTGGTATATTCATGACCCCGTTAAAATACATTAAGAAATTTAACTACGGTTGAAATCTTCTAAGAATTTAGAAGTAATGGCAATCCACATGTTTTGTTGAAAGCATGCCTTTATCTGTAAGGTTCCGCTAAAACGCCTACATACTATAAGAGCTTCCGACTGAAACAAATGCTCAGGATCCCTGTGGGCATATCCCTACGTTTAACGTAACAAGGTATCACAAATCCCTTATGAAAGTAATAAACAGTGCCTAGTAAAAATATCGACTGAGCTCTCGTAATTGCATGTTATTAAAAGCATCTCCCTGTGGGACAAAAAACTGGTAAGTCACATTTAAATCGCAATTACCAAAAAACTACGATTAATCAAATCCATACGATATTAGAGAAAATGCAGTGGTGACTTAGTAGTTGGTGCATTTGACTCTTAATAACTAAGTCCAGAATTTGAGCCTTGTCGTGCCCACTTTAGTCTAGACAACCGGGTAGTATCGTTCTTTCCCACTCTTAGTGTCCTTCATACCCAATACCTGGTGAATGCTAATTTAATTATTACCCAACAAACGGAATGAGTTACTGCAGTAAGTGAACCAAAAAACTAAAAGGAAACCTACTATGCAAAGCATTTCGAAAATCATAATCACTGCTAGAAAGGACCTCCTTAAAAAAGATAGTTATGAAAAACAATCAACCATCAATTAACTTTCATAAAATCACTCACTTATCAAGAGTTCGCGTAGATGAGGAGCCACAAATTGATGAGCTAAATGAAGTTGAAAGAAAATAAATTTTTAATTACAGAGAAAGCAAGATAGTTTCATAGTACATATAGGGTGTTAAAAGATTCTGGAACATTGCTGTTTTATGTAATTCTCATGACACAATGTCGCTAAGCAAATTGGTCACCAATCTGTAAAGTCTGACCTAATGGACTTTTGTTAGATAGAAAAAAACTAGTATTGTTACTGTAACCCGAGTTATTTGTACATATATACTAGTAGATTGTCTTGCTAATGCGATGGCTTGTCTTATATGAAAAAATGAACTTTCAGAAGCCATCCAGTTCAAATTTTAAAACACTACACAGAAACTAAGCTTCAGCACACGCTTATTACTACAGATCAATTTGGGGATGTAGTAGGTAGCTATGAACAGACCTGTCACTACAGTTTAACCAAGTTAAATATTCTCCTGACAACTGTTCTTTGGAGTTTAAATTAACTATATTGTTGCCACTGTCGTAAGAACACATCCTTAATCAATAATTCAGACGTTTTAAGAATTCAAACGAACTTTTTAATAAACATAAATCCAGAGTACCATGAACTGTACACATCTATAATAAACAGAATAATCACGCTTAACTCACCAGTTTCTTGACACCGAACTAATTCTGAGAGACAGAGTGCAGCAAACGCACGAACCGGTAATTCCGAATCAAAACATGCAGCTTTTCTCACTTCATCAACAACTTGGGCAAATATATTTTGGTCATTGAATTTAGCCTCTGATAATTTCTCCAGCAATCTGTAAGCCCTAGCACGACGATATCCTTCAGGAGCATGCAAAGTCGGAAGGACATGACCTACAAGAAATGATTCTAATTGAGACTGAAAGATAAGTACATAAGTGTTGTCAGGCATACCTTGTATGCAGCTTTTTTTAGTAGGATTTCAGCTATAGCTATGTACATGTGCAAAACAGCATCCTTCTCAATAGGAGAACTCTCGGAACTTAATATATGAATGCAGAACGGCATTATGTTATTGAGAACACCACGTCGTTTAACACATGCTTCACTTAGAAGCGTAGATGCTGCACTTGCTGGACTAGATACCGATCCCCAATCACCTGAAAATAAAGAGAAAAGAAAGAATCTTACCAGCTTCAGCTCGAATGTATTCCACTGGATCTTCTTGCCATAATTCTGCATCTTCTTCAGTATATGACATTAGCGGGAATATAACTTCACGGACCAAAAGAGAGAAGTGTGGCCGTAGTAATTTCCATGAAAATGAGTTAGCCAGTCTACAAAAACAAGTTGGATTGTGTTTTACTTACGCCGAAGAAAAGTAGTCCAGTGTTTGACTAAGCACAGGTTTGGAAACGAATGATTTTTGTCTGTATGCTTCACATATATTCAGAAGTACTGATATTATTTGCCCTGAGAAGGCTTTAAGATACCAGTCAGCGAATGGTTGATATAGCTTAATGACTGAGCCAGGACTACCGTAACTGAAAGGAGTTAGTAATTTCTACGCATCATACCGGGTGAAAACCCTGTTAAGTATTTTTAAAGCCCATTTTTGCCGTTTCCAGGTTGAACTTGAAGTGTCCGAATGAGTCACTTTGAAATCACCGAGGATAGTACAGAACATATCAATCCAATGAGTAAATAACTAAACAGGAGTAAGAAACAAATGACATACCTGTTTATTCATTGCATCCAGTGGGAAGTGGTAATTTATAAATGAAAAGAATATTTTGATAATGAGCGTCTGAAGTACATAAGAATCTTCGGATTCTTCAACGATGAGACTCGACAACGTTGAATATAAGATTGGGAAAAAAACTTGCATCGTGGAAACCGTATTTGCGCGTTCATCGTTTTTTTTGTATGTATACACTTCAACAAAAGCATAAAGGCAACGAAGAGCTCCTCGAAGATGATGGCGATCATTTGATTCTAAAAAATGCTTCACTTGTTCAGGGAACTCTTCAAAACGAGTAGGAAAATCATGCCGAATTATTTTGGAAAGAGCAACCTGGAGATGAGTTCTTATTTAAGAAGTTACTTCAGAAAAATGTCTTACTGAAAAGGAATTGGCGCCGAGACAAGAGCTGCTACAATAGAACTTCTGATTGCTTGCTTATCTTGCTCATGTATACAAAATCTTAATTCGCCAGATTCGTCTGACTCATCGGGCTTCCACCATTCAGAGATGTTGTTTTTAAAATATAGGGCTGCCGCCTGTCGTACTCCCACATCAATACTCTCTTCAAGGATGATTTTCAATAGAGTGGGAACAAATCCAATAATTTTATGCATCTGGAAATAAAGAATAAGTAGCTTTGCTTACTTCATCAAGTATCTTTGTTCCATTTCCTTGTTTTTCTGCTAACAGAGTATTACTTAATGCCTCAACTACCCTAGTAGGGTCCATGCTAAATAGAATTCCAAAAACAACGTGACAATCACCACAAATCGCACCGCCCTAAGTTTTAGTAAAATAAAACAAACACCGAAACTATAAATATTTAAATTTCCACCTATTATGGATTAACAGAAATCGACCACTGGTTTATATCATTCTTTTATTTGTATTGAAATTATCAAAAGTAAATCTTTATTAATTGAACATAAATGTTTCCCCCTTTTGACCAGGCATTTAGTCATTCTCTGCGCACCAAAACCCACTATTTCTTGTTTCATTTGAACTCATTCTCTGCTTTGGTCGGTATATTTGACTTCATGGCAGCTGTTACCTGTCTGGTACAGATTAACGGGTAATATCTCCTTCTTCCCCTCATAACCGCTTATTACCTTCACTTTTCTCTGAGACCATGTGTAGGGGTGATGTGACTGATTTTAGGAGAGGAATGGAAGATCTTCAGCTATACCATGTAGCTTATCAGGAGCTAATCTTCTGGGTTTCAATAACAAAGAGGCGCCTTCGCTTTTAATTACATGAATTATTTCAAATCTACCTTTGGAAGGTTAGTGGTTTGCTTTATTTACACTTGAAAAATTTGTAGTGTGACATCTTCGAGATAATGTCTGATGCTTCTTATATCTATCTTCCTGGTAACCATTATTATATAAATACCAACAGTGTTTATATTTCAGACTATATGAATATAGTTTATTATCGAACAGCGCAGATCACTAAGTCACAAGCGCACAAAGCGAACTCCACCAGAAATGTTAATGCAGGCTAGAAAGTACAGAGAGAGGTTAAGAGCCGAATAAATTAACAGTATTTAACTGTATATACATCGATTGCACCCACCAGTTATTATAATCAAGATGATAAATATCAGTTTCATGAAAGATGGAAGTCGATCATAGGGAAGCGCCCAGAAAACAACCTGACCATCCTGATGGGAGATCTAAACGCCAAAGTTGGAATGAACAACAACGGTTATGAAGATATCATTGGACGACATGGACTGGGAGAAAGGAACGAGAATGGCGAGAGATTTGCAAATCTATTAGCGTTCAACAAATTGATTATAGGCGGCACAGCATTTTGGTGGAGTTTTGTCCTCTGAGCTGGATGGTTTGGTCATGGAGCTAACGACATCATCAACGAAACCTCATTAAAATCATCCACTCGAGCTACAAATCATCTCTACTGCCTCAAAATCATATGGGCGGCACAATAATTCTACACAAACGCATAAACAAAGTTTATGGATCTAATCGGACAACACCACGGGTAACCAGATAGATCATATTTGTATCAATAAAAAATCCTGAGGGACAATGGAAGACGTGGGAACCAAGAATACGTGAAACACCAATCAACGACAGTAGAAAAAACTGTAAGTGATGGAAATATGAGACAACTATATGACACAACAAAGAAACTAGCAGAGAAGTATAGTAAACCAGAGAGACCGGTCGAAGACAAACAAGGTATGACAATCACTGAAATTCAAAGACAGAGGAACAAATGGGTGGAACACTTCGGGGGACTTTTGAATATGTCAGCTCAATTGAATCCATCAGACATCGAAGCAGCACGCATAGACCTTCTTATAAATGTTACTTCACAAACAGTCGAGGAAATCAGGATGTACATCAAACAAACCAAATGTGGGGAAGTAGCAGAACCTGACAATATACCAGTTGAAGCACTGACGACAGACAAAGAAGTAACTGCGAACATGATGCACCTTCCATTCAGGAAGGTTTCTGAGGAAAAATAAATGCCACCGACTGATTGGAATGAAGGATGCCTCACCAACATACAAAATAAAGATGTGAGCAAATGTGCGAACTACACAGGTGTCATACTTCTGTAGGTGTAAGCTTCTTTTTTGGAAGTTTTGTGTACGTAAATCTCTCCACTCACAATCTGTTGTGACCTATTCTCCCTGATCCCTTCAGCTGTATATTTCGTTGATCTTTTGATTCCATTTGAGACAGTGCACTTCGCATTTTATCGTAACTTTTGTTTTTCCTACGTTCTCACTGAATTGTCATTTGGCTTTAGTTAATATTTAGATGTGGTGGCAGCCACATTGATCTGTTTCTATTTTTTATTACGTTGCTTGAACTGACTGGGAAGGGTGAATTTATCCGCAACGCAACCATGTAAACTAAATGTGTCGCACAGAGTCATCTGTGCGTTCAAACAACCACAGATTTTGTCATTTCATAATGTATTTTTAAATAAATAACTACATTATATTGTTAATTTTGCCCTGTTTTTAATTTTTATTCGCCACGTCTGACTGTGTTACAATGTACGTTCACTGCACGCTGGGATTTTATACAGTATACGGTCTTAGAAGATGAGTGTTCTGTGTCTCAATTAAGTGCAGCTGGCTGTGAACAAATGTTGAGAATCTTTTTGACAACTGGGACTTTTAGTTTACCAGACACTAACTCTGCTTGTATGTCTTCTTGTTGAAATAGACGCAGATGCATGGTAATACTTAAATGGGAGCAAAATAATAATAGAATTGCAATATGGTACTAAGCCTATGTTATGTTTTGCACAAGTAATAGTAGCTGACCTTATCGAATATTCAGGAACCTAAGGTAAATCACAGCTGCATAAATTCTTTGTTAAAAAAACATGTAATTTGGTTATTCATCTATTCCACATTTCTGACTAAATTCATCACTATTTTTTCATCTAGAACGCGACAGAAGTGAGCCTTCACAGATCCTAAAGACTGTTTCGCCCTTAGAACTATGGCCCTATGAAACTGTTTACGGTAGACCCAACGAACTGCAGATTATAAAAAGGATGCTGGACGTCTATTTTAGTCTCACAATCACTTCCAGTATTTTTTGACTTCTTTTACGCTTTCGTTTGGAAAAAAACTGCAGCTTAACATTACCAATACAACTTTTAAACGGGAACTTGGTCTAAACCTTTGTTTGATATTCGATTCTTAATGAAGTTCTTGAATAAATTTTTGAATCTAATGCTACTTTGTTTTATCCACATGATCGTTGCAAGAAACTTGTGATAGGCGAGCCTCTCAGCACCTGGTTCATGTGTTCAAATGGTTGCGGACTGAATAGAAGCTTTCGCTTAACAGGCTTTCGTGTCTAGTAGCAGGGGATCACCAAAACCTCCAGGCAGGAACCTAGGTATGTTAACAATAAAAGAGGAAAGAGAAATTGGTAAATCATAGTATGATACTATCCTTAATCCTTAAGAATGGATCAAGTTGCCTCTTAAAAGACTCCTGAGAAGTCGCTTGGACTAGCTCGTCGGGCAGCGACTTCCAGCATTTGACAACTCCTAAGGAGTAGACGTTGCGCCAACAGTCCGTTCTGCTATGTTGTGTCTCTAGTTTCTGGGTGTTACCCCTTAGGTTAGTGTTGGAACTAAGCTTAAGTAGGTGTTTAAGAGAATGTTCAGAAGTGTTAAGGATACTGTAAGCCATTAGATCACCTCTAAGACGTCTATACTATAATGGGTAGAGGTTAAGTGATTGGACGCGCTCTTCATAAGGTGATTTGGTGCATATCTTCGTCATTTTCTTGGGAAACCTACAGACTCGGGTCCTCTTACAACTTATTCTAGCTACCATGAATTGCCACGGCAGCTGATGGATGGACACGCGTTACACATCCTAACCATCCCTGCTTCTAATTTAATAGCTGCTTATTCAAATGTCATATGATAAGCAAGCAATGCCTCTACCGACACTAATGGAACACGAGTAACTCGAAGGCCTGTATGGTACCTCACATTGGTCTACGCAATCACTTAGCTCTTTAGTGAGAATATTACTACAGTCGTGCTAAAAATCCCATGAACCCCCTACTTCCATCAAAACAAATAAGTCTGTGTTTGCTGCATACAGCAATTTTATTTTTCAGAAGTAAGATATAACAGTTAGAATTGGAGTAAAATGGCAGTATACAGCAGATGCACGTGGTACATGTCTTCGTCGATTAACTGAAATAGAGAATACGGATATTAGCTTAACAGGCTTATTTAGAAAGACTAGTGTCTACTTTGAACTTACTGCGTGAGAAAGTTATACTGGAACTATGAATAATGTAGGAATCTAATCTCCCAGTTGTACGAAGCACTCAAACTGGAAGACAGTTGTTCAAAAATAATTCGAATATGAAGGTGAGAATTTGCGGGTACTTTTCATCGTAAGGGTGAACATATTAGGTAACGGTTAACATCATACCGTAAAAAAAAAACAAATTTGCGAGTGGTGAAATATGATCTATAAAAAGTAAGCTTAATAACAGTTAATTACCTTTTTACTTCCTGATTATGACCCTTCGGCTTCCTTTTATTGGCCAAAACAGCAAACATACACTACGCACTGATAGCAGATTTCCGGCCTTTCAATGTTAAGTTTGCCTTAACGCACTGCGTAATGAGTACAATCCCTCCATTACTGCTATATGGCATTTTTTTATAACAAACCCTCTGCAATTGATTGGTAGCGTCTGTGACTTCGTCTATGGTTGTCGGAAGTCTGGGTCCTTCCGAAAACAATACTGATATCCCCTACTGCTAAGCACTCTGTATTAGCTTGACTCGTCGGTGGTACAGTGTTGTTCATAATACTGAAGAAAATTAAAAACCCGAGATTGTTTCTTTTCATTTCATCGATAACATCAAAAAGGACAGTTCGGATCGAACATGCGGACAGTTAGTCACATGCGGCAGCAACAATTATTTTAGCTAAAAAAACAAACTTCGGCTTTGGATATCTAGAAAACAAGTCAAAACAAAACTGATTACCATTTTGAAACATAAGACTAGCCAGCTTGGCCGAAGAAATACATTGACTTGGGTAGAAGCAGCAAAAAACAATGCTGATTCAAAATAAATTTCACACCAACATATAGAACATTACACTAACTGTGGCATTTTAACACACTGAAACATTAAATTACATAGCTACACAAAAAATAGCTGAAAAATGCACAGAACGAAGAAAGCCGACCGCCATTGCTTACAAAGATGGCGGATATAATAATTCCCGCCTCATTCTGGTTGGTTGCTAAGTTGAAGGGCACATTTACGAAATTGAGTTGCGTTTAATTGCAGCCACTGGGAATGTGCATACGTGATTGTGAACTGAAACACTCCTCCAGAACTGGATGCGC